CATCCATCCATCCATCCATCCATCCATCATCCTATTATATAGTATGGTGTAGAACCACTAAATTCACTCTTTCACACTAAGGTGGTTCGCTCCATTGTAGCCACCGCTGCCTGGGGCTCACTGACAGTAAGCAGGGGCCCCACCGCGCCCTCTGACCACCATCAGTAGACAATGCGGGTTAAGTGTCTTGCCCAAGGACACAATGACATTGAAATCCAGAGCCGGGGTTTGAACCGACAACCCTCCAGTTGCAGGGCAAACTCCTTTGTCGCCCCTTGTGGCCAGTTAAAGGCATTGCCATTAAATTCAGTAAATAGTGTTTGTTTTTGAAAGTAAATATTAGATTAATTGGTTTTTAATCAGCTAGTGTTTGTTCCCCTGCAGTGGAAACAGTTACTGTAAAGTATTCCTACACTTCTGGGAATGAGTGTTTGTCCAGAACCGTGTGAGGAGAAACGGTCCAAAGTACGAGAACTTTTTGTTTGCGGAGCAGATTTTGGGAGCGAGGACCAGGAGGTGAACTCTGTCTAATCTCAGTCCTGTTTAGCTCTGACCTGGAACACTGCAAACATGCTGCTGAGGAGCTTCTGCTTCATTTTCACTCTGCTTTGGACCCTCCACGCTGCTGAAGGTAAAATCCAGCCATTAACCAGGAACTCTGCATGAAACTGACTTTAAATGCATCAGTTTAAATCTGCTGATAGAAGCAGTGAGAATTATTCCTGGCCTGTAGAAAAGCTCAGAGGAACCACTGCTTGGTTTTTCAGTGTTTGTTGGGAAACACCAAGCCGCCTCGGTGCTGCGCCGATGGAGGAGAGCCAACAGCGGCTTCCTGGAGGAGCTGAAGCAGGGGAACCTGGAGAGGGAATGCGTGGAGGAGATCTGTGACTACGAGGAGGCGCGGGAGGTGTTTGAGGACGATCAGCAGACGGTCAGCTCAGGCTCCAGATTTTTCTCTCTGCATCAGACCGGTCCACCTGGATCTCTGACTGTTTTCTTTCTGTTGGCTTTCAGAGGGAGTTCTGGAGAAATTATGCCAGTAAGTATGTGAGCGGCCTCCTGTGTGACGTCAGAGGAGCACAGCTCACCCTGACGGTTCTGTTTGGACCCTGTTCTGTCAGAAAGGGACCCCTGCCTGGAGAACCCCTGCCACAATAACGGGACGTGTCTTTATGTGGGAAACTCCTATGAATGTCAGTGTCTGGAGGGATACGAGGGCCGGTACTGTCAGACAGGTAATCCTCCTCTGGATGACTGGATCAGAGTTCCTGGTCCTGCTCTGGGTCAGCAGAGACCTCCTCTGGTAGGACTAGTAAACCAGGCTGGCGTAATTACAGTCAATAACGGAAGGCTGAACATACCAGATATGGTGAAAAGGAAACATCTTTTTCTGTTTAATTTCAAAATAAAAAAAAATTGATAAATGAAGAAATCATTGCCAGAAGCGTAGATCTACGCTTGACAGAATGTTCTGGTAAAAAGGCATCAGATTTAAGACAAACTGAATAAATACGGCAAAATGTTGGTGAATTTAATTTTAGGGGTTATAAAACAGCTTTAAAAAAAAGCAAATATGTCTCTTTGGCTGTATTCCTCTTTTTTATTTGGTTTACATCCACCCACTAACTTCCACCCACTAACATCCACCCACTAACTTCCACCCACTAACTTCCACCCACTAACTTCCACCCACTAACATCCACCCACTAACTTCCACCCACTAACTTCCACCCACTAACATCCACCTACTATCACCCATCCACTAGTATCCACCCATTAGTATCCACCCACTAAC